ACATGCACGCTCTATATACCGAATCTCATCCATCGTATATGTGCAGTCCAATACGCGCCTCACCGCCACTCATCCGTACAAGCGACCCCCTCGAGGCCTCCGCAGGTCCCTCCAAGGCCCCGCTTTGCCAGCTTCGCTGCGTCCGAGTCCTTGCTGCCCCCGTCACTATGCATGCCACAGCCCCCCGCGCCCGCGAACTTCATCTCAGGTAGACAGCGGATCGCACGCCCAACTTCGGATGCGCCCATCTTGCCGCCGCCCCTGCCTCTGACGTCGCGCGCTAGCCCAATGGGGTTTCCACATCCGTCGCCTGCTAGTCACGTATCTCTCTACGGTGACTACTTCTCGCAACCACCGCCCCCACCACCCCCTCCTCCCTTACCTCAGAAAGCCACATGCGCCCATCAGTTCGCGCCCACCTATCCCACCAAAGCCAGCTGCTCTTATCTCATCCACCCAGCCGAGAAATCCTTTGTACCCACAGTCGATACCCACTAATGTCACCTTTGGTCTTTCCCCTTGGCTCTCAGATGAACCCAGATTTCAATCACCGACCTGACGACGAAAAGGGACCTCCCACTGTCCCTCCAGTACTTCCTACTTTAGGATATCAAATGTCACGAAGACGATTTAGCTGCTCAAGAGGAAGAAGACCTTGCAAGGGCGCTCGAGGAATCACGATTATTGGCGAACGTGTTCCATGACCAACTATCCGTTACTGATATTGGGCAGAGCAGCTCTGCATCCACGAGAGCCATCCGTCCTCGGAGTCCGGCCGACGGCGAAAGCTGGCTTAACATGAACACTCCATCTGCCTCCCAGCATTCACAGGAGTCCTTGCTTGACGAAACTTTTCTGCAAAAGCGACCAGACGACGATAAGAGTCTCAGTGCACAGAAGTAGTGGGCGTCCTCTGAACGAACTCTTTCGGTCTGCTGCGACCGAAAGTCGCGATATGCAGCTCACATTCACCGACTCAACGCCCGTGCCCCCTCTTGTACTCCAATGCCGTATCCAACCTGGTCGCAAAATCTACTTTCAGTGCCTCTACTTCCAGTGTCACCTCTACGATGCATGCTTCTCACCCACCAGGCCTCGCCTACACCAAGTTCCCTCACCCGCCCACCTAGCGAACCCCCAGTATCCCCGCAACCTACATCCCCATCCGTTCCCTCCATGTCGGGTGATAGCTCCAATTTTACGTCAGATAGCAGTGTGTCTGTCGGGAAGTTTAGCTCTGGGGATGCTCTCTCGCCAACGACAAGTAGATCCCCAGCGATATCCCCAAGCTCTACCTTTTCCCTGGATTCCAGTATCAGTCCCAGCTTCTTGGAAGGGGACGATGATGCCGACCCACCGAATCGTTCAGCGGTCCCGTACTCAGCAAATCAATACGTGGAGCCAGAACTACTCCTGGGTGTCTGTAGGTACAAACACATAACCAGCCTATACCGCCTAACCTTTACTGTTTAGCACTAGGATTCAGTCGCCCTGTGATTTCAACTCTTTTGACGCCCATGAAGGAACAGATGCCCAACGTCATTACTCTTCCATACGGAAAATCCCCTCCTTGTTTCTTTCAGGCCCCAAGCTGGCGACGTTTGCTGAAGTTGATGGCTCGGCTCAGCGACACTAGAATAGAACCAACGCTGGAAGCCCTAAGTATCGCTAAGCACGAGTTGAGGTTACGTACTGTTGTACAGTTTGTGAGGGTAAGTTACTCGCTGTTGAGCATGAACGACTGTTGACAGGCCCAAGGTCCACCATTCTTCGTCTGACTGGAGAACAGTTCTCTACTTCACCACTGACATACCTGTCACATCGTCCGGGCAGAATTCACATAAATACCTGAATGGTGATGTTGGTGTGCTACCGTTTTCGTATACATTGTCTGCCCTCCCGACGCTTCTGCAAGACGGCGCAGAGTCGTCGATGGCAAAGTACTACGTCATCCCGTCGACGTCGACGAACACCCTACCCTACACTTCCTATCGACTTCCCTAAGCCTAGCCAACTACTTACAGTCTGCCGTTGAAGTCTCCCGACGGGCTGCCATTGATAGCTCTGGTGGAATGCGGAAACTGGCACAGTATATTGATACTTGCTATCCGAGCGATGATGAGGCTGCGGCGCTTGACGGCGATGCACGAAAGAGAGGAGTTGGCGGGATGCTGATGCGGGTGATAGGCAGGTCGAAGGGGAAGGGGGAGCAGAGGAAATGAAGAGATATATGATCTAGTGACTCCGTTCGTGTCACCAGTGGGGCTGATTGGCAAGCCCCGTACAGCGTTGATAGACCACTCCAGGTTACATAAATTATAGCATGTACCATTACGCCAAAGCTATAGTTGCAATACGGGAGTCGTGTTTGTGGCGTTGAGCGCTCCCAGTCGAATGCGAAGTTCAGATACGAGCTCAGTCAGACCATGACCACCTCCAACGCAGTCGAGCCCGAGTCTCTGAAGATCCCGCCGCTCTCAGTCGAGGAGGAAGGTAACTTAGGCCATGAACTTGCACAAGACATTTTTCTGAATGCACGTTTTCAGACGCTATAATACACACCAGAATTACCAACGACGAAAGACCACTTCGTCGCATAGCGAAAAAGTTCCACACATATGCATCTCTAGTTCACCCATTGCCAGTTCAGTCAGGTCATGCAGGGAACATAGACGATGCAAGAGAGGCTTTCTTGATTGAACTCTCTTCGTTCGAACTCTCGCTCAAAAAAAGCATCATGGTCTGCGAGGCTGAAGCAAGGCAGGTAGAGGAGTACCAGCGCGAGCGGCGAAGGATCGGTGCGTTGTGGTCTGTCAGCGACTGGGGTATACGGCTGACTATCAGACAACCTCTCTCAGAGGCGGAACATGACGCATTGCGCGCTCAGATTGCCGAACTCAAGATTGCACTCGAGCATGCCCAGACGGAGCGCAAGAGGAAGATAGAATACGATTCCGTTGCAGAAAAATTAACACGTTTCCAAGCCGTGATGAACTGCACCAGTACGTATCGTGTATTCTTTTCTTTAGAGCATCGCTGACGAGTCGCTGTACTATTAGAGCTATTCTCTTACTAGAGAATGACATGACAGCTATTAGAGCAGAGCATGAGACGCAAGAACGCATCATTCGCGGTCAAAAGTCCGCGTTGGATGGTATTATTACAGACCTCGTGTCATTGCGGTTATTAGGGAAAGATAGGGATGTTACACCAGCAACAACCCCTGCCCCGGAATTACCTGACTCTGATGAGGGTTCGTTGCCAATGGACGACGAAAAGCAAGGGGGGGGCATTGAGTATGGGGAAGTCACAGAGGGGAAGGAAGATGGAGAAGACGACGGATCATTGGATTTGTTGTCATCGTCAAAGCTTGGCCCATCCGTCCAGGGGTTAATGCCGCAGCAATCTGGTACGCCACTGTCATCGCAGAGGGAGTCTCAGGGGCAGGGCAGTATGTCAGCTGATATAGACGATGATATCGAGATGGGAGAAGTTGCAGAGGACCCCAAACCCAAGAGAAAGGCCAGGGAAGACTTAGAGGAAGGGGAAGCAAGCGACTCCAGCAGCGCGTTGTCAGATCCCCCAGACGACTGAAATGAATTTCGAGGAGGGCATCTCTTTGTATCATTAAGTCCTAATCTGTGGTGCTAGATTTGATTTCTACCGTCATCAAGTCTCGCGCGCAGATAATCTCTCCATCATAATGTTCCTTGGCTTGGCTTGCGATCGCCTTCATAATCCTGCTCGCCTCTTCATTAGCTTCGTCATTCCCTGGATACCTGGCTGAGAAGTGGTTGAGAATCAATTTTCGGGCTCCAATGCGGGTGGCGAAGGCCCCCGCAAGTTGAGGGGTTGAGTGTCCCCGTGATTTTGCACGCATCTCGACGCTTTCGAAAGTATCGTCGGGTTTGGTAGAAGGATCTACTCCTGGAAGATGAGCATTGGTTGCTTCGTGAACGAGAACGTCGGGCGAAGTGGCAATGTCCGATATGGGGGACGGGTCATAAGTGTCTCCAAGTATCACGACCTTTCGACCCGGTCGACGAGAAGGACCGTGCAGCACAGTTCCGTCAGGGAGCTCGACGCTTTCTCCTTGTTGTAGACGGGTCATACATGACATGGGTGCCTTTGTCCTCGTAATGTCAGGTATGTATTTTTTAGGGTCCATCTTCCCTGGTACGGGCGCCTCTGTTATCACGTATCCCACGCACGGTATAGAGTGCAGGATAGGGCCTGCACAGACGGCAATGGTATCATCTCGGAAGATATCTCTCCATACTCCACCGACTTGTGGTATGTTGCGACCAGGCATCTCTGAGGTATGGATCGGTATGGAAAAACTGTCACCGTCTGGTGAGTCATCGGGGAACCGCAACTCGTGGACGACATATCGACGTGCCAAGATGCTGTGGGTGAATGTGAGACTTGCACGAACATACGCTCGCGTGCCAAGTGGGCCGTAAATTTCCAAGACCTATTACTATCGGTTAGGTAGGCCGTAACGGGCGACGGACTGAGCACACTTGCGTCAGCATCGAACTGAGTCTGCAAACGAGGATCGCCAATCATCGCCAATGGTGCCTCCTGCACCGTTAGCTAACGAGGTTATCAGTGGTACCAGCCCGAAAATGTGGTCTCCTGCAAGTAATGACGATTATCGGATTTCCGGAACGGTAGAGCACGGCGCACCATGCGTATGCGTGATAAATATCTTTTTGATCTTCCCCATCTTTAAGATGCTCTTCTGGAGCTGGTGCTGGGTAGCCTCTCCACAGTCAAAGAGCCAGACATTGCCAGCCAAGCGCACCTGCAAGAGATGAGTGATTTCGGGTAGAAGACGGTTGGGCGGAAGCTGTCCCAAGGAAAACCAGATCTATCGATCCGATGCCACTTTTTCTTGACATTATCGTAGGATGGTCACTGCGAAGGTCTAGAATATTATTCGCTCTAGCGTGTCTGATGTGGTCTCAGAGTCTGACTCGACTTATAAAAAAAGAAATTGTCCCTGGCAGGAATCGAACCTGCGGCGTCACGGTAATTGCGCTGACCACAACGTGACGATTTAACCACTAATCGACAGGGACTTTACCGGAGTTGCAAAATTACGCTCCTTGTTACACTTTGGCAGGACAATTAGGAGTTTCTCCCTTCCAGGCTATTAAACTGTAACCTGGCATGCATTCTCGCAACATATACGCGAGTCCACCTGATTTTGTTGCCCTTGCAAGGCGTTATCCACCCCTTAGGCCACAGTACGTCCTTTCGCAGTGGTAACCGCCGGCGTTGACCGCTATAATCTCAGTGTCTTCCTCACCCATGCCGGTCCGTCTATAGATTTCAAGAACCCAAGTGCCCAGAGGTCAGGACAGTATGGTCGTTTTCCACATGAGGTCATGTATTCATTAAAGAGGGAGGCGCTTGACAGAAGCATTACTTCGTGTTGATTTTGATATCAGTCTCGACGTACCAGACAACCGTCTCTGCCCCCCCGTAAGTGCCACTGTTTTATGATGGATCGATATTCCGAATTCCTTCAGGTTCCAAACAGGTATCTGTCCTTCCACTCATGGGTTTGAAGTTTATACTGATTACCTCTTGCCGGAGGTTGAACTATGTTCTTTGGGTACAAGATATCGTCAGGGAAACAGCTTCAGATATAACACCAGTACGTGGAATTGACATGTGCGTTCTAACACCTCTGCCGGAGACAACTTTATTAACCGGGGCGTGTAGAGGAACGGGGGCTTCTGTGGTGTACCCCTTGCTGGCATGCCGGTTAGAGCCAACATGGCAATTTGTCGCAACCGGTAAGTCAGAGTCCTTCAGGAGAACAAAAATATTCTGACACAGAGAACTCAATCGAAGACGTGGACAAGGATTCATTGATTTCTGCTCGAGAGAACAGTCAAACGTAACCGCCTGTCAGACCAAGTATTAATTACAGAAACATCTCCAGATAAATCCTTACTCTTTCCACTAGAAGAAGATACTACATTAACGCACGTCGACCACATTTTATTTTATTCTGCGAAACTGATTTAGTCGCAGGTACGAATTCACTATGTGTAATCCTCCTTTTTACTCCAGTGCGGAGGAAATGGCTCAGTCCGCGGAAACAAAAGAGTTTGGGCCCAACGCGGTATTTAGTTTCTCTTCATGTATAGATTCCTTTTCATTGCCCTCTGCCAGGTTTGTACGGGGGCTGAGGTGGAGATGATTACTCCAGGTGGAGAGGTGGCTTTCGTCTCGCGTATATTTATGGAAAGTCCTTCAGCACAAAGCTCGGTGCAGGTGGTTGCATCCTTTGGTCTTTCCATGTGTTTTGTCTGACCCGTTCTAGATGGTATACATCTATGTTAGGTAAAATGATCTCTCTTCATGAAATTGTGTCCCTTTTGCGAGGTCACCAGGTAATGGACTTTTTATCTTCTTTTCGCGAAGGTGCTGATCGCTATTAGGTCGATAACTATGCCATCACCGAGTTTATACAAGGGCAAACTCGCCGTTGGGCTATCGCATGGAGTTTCGGGACTCGTCGTCTTCCGGATGTAAGCACAGTAGTTGTTGACGTCTGTCTGCCGACATGGTCAAATTTTTGCAGGCTTACGCACGAATAAGCAGTTCAGCGTTGCAGGGGATTATGCCTTTGCGAACGACTTTGTATCAGCCGCTCGCCTTCTCTTCTCCCTCGCTTCTGTCTGGCATCCTCAGTCAGGTTCTTGCGGATGTCGACGGCGCATCGGTCATGTTGGATAGTTCCGGTTCCGGCGATCACATCTACCTGGTACAGGCATCGGCAAACACTTGGTCCAGATCGGCTCGGCGGAGGAAGATTACAGTTCCTGTACGAACGGGTGCGCCTCCTCAGTCAACTCCAATCATGCAATGCCGAATCCAATGCCACTATGGCCTTCCGCCTATGGTCACTGACAATCCTAAGATGCATGGAGTGTACTTGGAGTATCAATGGATCGATGGCAAGGAGCGTAGTAACTTTGAGAGCTTTGTTAGCCACGTCAACCGCAAGGTCGCCTCGTTCCGTTAATGAAATGTTGATTTGAGCTTCACAGCACGACTTGGATTGGGGGTGCGTCGCCGAAATACTTCATGTACGTGCAAGCGTATATGTATACTCTGGGACGTTACATGGTTTTGCAGATCATACTTGGCTTGAAAATATCATTCATAGTGGGGCATAACTCCGTTCAGGGGTCGGTGCATGGTTTCGGCATATATGCATATAAACGACAGCCTTGGTGTTATTCGTGGGTCTCGATCTTAGCAGCACTGTCATTCTTCTTTACTGGTACGTCTCCCCATATTAGCCAGAAAAAAAACCATTGCACGCACGCAGGAGTCAATATATAGGATGCTAGAACTAGATAGCACAATACTAACTATGCAACAATCGAGGTTAATCGAAAACTGAAATCATAGAAGTTGTAATCCGAATTCCATGTCTTCATAGCTAGGAATGAAACCAGCATCCCTGGTATGGCTGTCAAACACTCTAGCAGATACCCACCCCCAATGGTGGACGCGCATGATTAGAGAAGGGAGTAAACCAGTCGTGTGCCCAATGTCACGAGAGGACGTATCAACAGGAAGATCCTAGCAGCATCAGGCATATCAGCATATATCAAGGAGTCAATTTGTGAGACTGCAGCACGGCAGCCCATCTGTGGGAAATATTAGGCCATGGCGGAACGATGACAATGATGTAACCCACTCTTCCTTCTCTGCTTCTAACTCCGCAATCCGTCTCTTCAGCTTCCTACCAGCATCCGTGAGCGGACACTGGCAGCGCAGTATAAAATGACCACTTACGAATTCTCGTGACTAAGAGCGTTCCTAGATTCCTTCGTCTTGCTAAGATCTTTGGTTATGGCTTGCCATGCTTCGTCATGAGGGAGATTGGCGTCATTATACATTGCATCTAATTCTTCATTGAAAGCCTGAAATCCGTCGAAACTCGGACTTCCTTGGCTAGCATTACCCTCCCTTACCTCATACATGATTTCCTTTTCGGCCGTTGCGTCTACGAGTAGACTCTTGACAACTTCACATTGGCGTTTAGCATTCTGTAGCTCAGCCCTCGTCTTGTCATATTCCTCAGCCTTCTGTATGCATGGTGAGCTCCAAAGTTCGCGTTGCGCCGGCATTCGTATGCGTACCGCTTTGAGATCTTGGAACAGCTGTTCCAGGCAGTCCTGGAGCATCTTGTGATTAGTAACCGCGCGACTTATGCATTGATCTGCGTCTTTGACTGACTCCTCCAGTCGGCCGATAATGGAGATACCAGTGGTATCAGGTGTTAACGAGGTCATACTTTCTGGAACGGTACTGTAGGGACGTATTCGAGGCGTCCCTTCCATCTGCCGCTTAGAAATGAGCTGTCGCATTTCGTCCAGACGCGCTTGAGCTTCTCGCGTCTTAGCGCAGATCAGTATGGTGTATGGGACCAGAATGAGTAACATACTAGCGGAGCATTGGCCCGTTGAGGAGTACGTGCAAGGGCTTTATCTGGCTGACGGTGACCTCCTGGAATCCGAAGGGACCGATGCACTTGAAGGACCCGTTAGCTCAGTCTACATGCAAGCTTGATGCGTTTGAGGGCATGACGGGAAGCATTGATCTGACAACAGGAAGAATATAAGAATGTACCACGCATTACTTTTCAAAACGTACGACTTACGTCTTCTTTGGTAGTCGAAGTCATCTTCACGATACGTTCGATGTAATCAGTGTAAGGGAGTGGATGGAGTGGATCTGAGGAGCGGTTCGCCTTCGTCTCAAGGGATGCCTTGCGCGGTGAGATTATCCTCGCGGTAGCTTTGGATAACGGCGACATCCTTCTGTATGACCTCCTCGGGTGACGGATATAGGCTATGTCCTGAACGTATCGAAGACTTTTTCTTAATAGACAGAGGTTCGATACTACTGACAGGGACAGATGTCGGAGTGTCCGCCGGTTTCGGCATGGAAGGCTGATGCTATTTCGAGGAAGAGGTGAGGATGGCGTATGGTTGCGAAGAGCGGTAAGAGAAGGCTCCTCCAGACGGAACGTATCATCCTCTAGTTCCATATCTGAATCTTCCGTTTTTACGAGCTGCAAGCGCGACGACGCAGGGCTGGTTGGAGGTAATGAAGGACTACGTGGACCGAATCGGCGAGCCTCACTAGGTAGGGGCACGGGGAGCTTCTCCAGTGAAGAAACTCCAGTAGCTGGTGATTGTGGTCGAGACTCCGATGATACGAGGCTCTCTGCTTCCTTCCTAGTGGACATTCGTGATCCGCGTTTCAACTGCAGTGGTGGTCCCTCTGCCAACGTTGCATTCTTATGGGCCCATGTGGGGTTGGAATTGAGAAGCTTACCTTCGTATATGATCTCCTCGATCTGCACGTTTTGTCGTAATGGGGGAAGTGGTTTTCCGTGTTGATTTTGGCTATTTCTCCGAGCCAGCTCCAGCCGTGACGTCAAATCATCTTCCGACCTATCCAGGCTCACCTCTGCATCGTCAGGGATCGGGAGAGTGTCTCGAGAAGTGGAGCGAGAGGCTGGCCTAGATAAAGGTTCTGGAGAGCACCGACCGCTACCAGGCGAAGGACCTCTTTTGACCAACTTTCTACGCGAACTGGTGGACCTGCTAACACCGAATGAATCGTCATCCCCGGAAGCCATCGACGTGGCAGCGGTTGTTGCTGAGCCACCTGAACGGTAAGAGAATTTGGCGAGGCTGCCATCTCCAGTTGTCGTTGTCTGTGTATATGTTGAAGACCGACTGTTGGTCGACTTGGATCGCGAACGACGATGGCCATTGATAGAACCACCAAAAAACTCGCTTTTGGACGAAACCGAACTAAACAGGTTTCTAGATATCGCGTCCAGGCTGAAAATGTGCGCTCGCGAACGGGCACTGGCAGTAGGTGTTGCCGGTCGAGAGTCGTTACCAGTGCGGAATTTGAACAATCCGTATTGGTTAACTGTTGGCATTGAAATAGACATCAACAATATTTATCCAAGAATCACTTACTGGTTTGCACAATTCGTCCTGGTATTCGTGCGGTTTGTACGATCTCCTCT